AAAAATAAGTAAATTAGAAGTATAACAGTAACAGTGCTATGTTATAATGGTATAACAAATATGACAATAATTGTTAGTATACTCAAAAATAAAGAAAAAATTAATATTATTAAAATTATTGTTAATAGAGATTTAAAAGTACAACTAAAAGAATTACTAAATTAAAATTTTTATTTGAAATAATGGAGGATGAGAGAAAGTAAATAAATAAGTAAATAGAAGAATATAATATAAAATAGTGAGAGATTAAATGACAAAGCCGGAACTCCTCAAGAAAGATATTATTGAAATAATAATAAAGGAAGAACGGCAATTAAGAGTATTAACTACGGAAGGGGGATTAATATTGTGGGAGGCTAAGAGGCTGAATAGTTTATTTCTGCTGTTAATTAGGGCAGGACAATCAAAGAGGAGATGAGAAAAATCGTATAGAAGCTTCACTATCATGAAGGGGACAAAAGGGAACGGAATTTAAGGAAAGATGAAATGCATGGTAAGGCAGAAGATTATAACCTAACCTAAGTCTTGAGTACTGAGAAATTATATTTCTGGATAAGTCAAGGTTATGAAACCATGGAGAATGTATAATGGATGGAGAGATCGAGGGGTACCAACATACCGTTTTCAATTTTATTGTAGCTCAACTGTCCTGCCAGGCTTGAAGAACTGTATGTCGAAAGAGGCGGAGAAAGTCAGAAGCGGGAATATTATGGCTAGAAGAAGTAAAGAAGGGGGAAGTAGAAGTAGCAAGACGGTCAGCTGTTTCGTTACCTAATATATTGGCATGGCCCGGCACCCAGTGAAAAACAATAGATTTATTTTGGGATCGAATTGAGGAGATAAGTGATCTAATAATAAAAATGTAAGGAGAAAGATGAGAGCAAAATGGATTAGAAGTGAGGGCAAGTAGGCAAGATAGAGAATCAGAAAAAATAGCAAATTCATTAATTGAAGTAGAAGATATAAAAATGAGAGCATTAACGATGGCAAGGCATTCAGTGGTAAAAGAAGATGAAGAAGGGTGGAGTGCAGCTGAGTATGAAATATTAAGTTCAGGAATAAAGAAAGAACAACCAGCCGAGTTAGTTGATACAGAACCATCTGTGAATATCAAGCATTTAGTCGGAAAATTAGCTGAGATATAATCTTTGAAGAGATTATTAACGGAAGTTGCAGGAAGAGAACGGAGGATTGATGGAGGGAAGCCGAGGAAACACATTGAAGTATACACTATGGGAGCTATTGAAAGAGCCACTAGAGGACAGTCAAATAAAGGTAATCTGGAGTGTGATTTGTAAATGTGACAGACCATGGGTGACAGAGAAGAGCNACTGAGTTAGATTTAGGGACGGGAATGACGTTTATTGCGCCAAGAATCAGGAATAACACCTTGGGACCATAAAGAATTAAGAATGACTAAGAGAAGTTCAAGGCAATGAGAAGGGAGATGTTTNAAAGTGATTTAGGCACGTAGCGCCCGCAATTACTTAATTTGGAGTATAAGGAGAAGATATGATGGTTACGGGTGGAGAGAGATTTTAGGAGAAATTTATTAGCAAGCAAGCGACAGCGGATTTCGAGGGGGGGAGAGGAGCACTCAACAAAAATACTATGGCTCGGGGTAGACTTAAGAACACCAAGAATGCTGCGCAAGCATGCGGATAAAAGAGAATTAAGTTTTTTCCTATGAGTGTAGGAAGCTGAAGAAAATAAAAAAGAGCCGTNAGAATAGATTGCATAGGAAATTTCACTGAGTGTAAACGAATCAGTAAGAGGATGAAAAGGGAGAAAGTTAAGGAAAGGGTTAGGATTAAGGGTAGAAAAGGATTCTTCTAATGATGGGACGTAGGGGGGAGCAAATTTATTGCAGAAGGGATCAAACCATGACTCGTTTAAAGAGGGAGAATTTTTATATAGACAGTTTTTAAATTTTTTGGCAATAGTCCAGGTATTGGACAGACTAGAAGAAGGATTAAGTGAGGAACAGAAAGAGCGCCAGGACATAATTTTTGCTTGTTTAAGTGTTTTTTGAACAGAGGCGCGTACCCTTTGGTAATCAAAAAAGTCACTTAGCAGACCGGAGGATCTATATTTTTTAAAAGCTTTAGTGCGCTCATTGATAGCGTAGGTGCAAGAGGAAGACAACCATATTGGAGAGGAGGGAAAGGACTTTTTGGTTTTTTTAATTAAAGAAACAGATAAATTAACTGCTCTAATAATTGTAGACNCAAACTGACGGTAAGCGTTTTCTTGTGAAAATTATTAACTGGCTTTTCAATATAATGAATTTGAAGAGATTTAGAGAGGACGGCAAGTGAGTTATTAAAGGAGTTGAGGGCATTATGAATGGATATATGAGAAGAAAAAATAACGATGTCATCAGCATAGAAAAGTGAGAAAGTACCACTAGAGGTGAGGGAGAGGCTAATTTTGCTCATGTAAATATTAAAAANGGTATGAGAGGAAGAGGGAGAGGGAGTGGGAGAATTTGTGTGAGAAATAATGATGGGAAAATTATCACTACCATGAGTGCAGTCTAGGACGGACCATGACAACAACAACGAGAGAGATGGAGATGAAATGGTTAGGTCAACCGCGGAATCCATTTGGGAAGGGTCTGTAAGGAGGGTGGGGAGTCCTGTATTGAGAATACAAAGATTATAGGCAGAAATAGCAGATGAAATAATGTTACCGCGATGATTGGAGATTAGTGCACCCCAGGAGGGATAGTGACCATTAAAGTCACCGCCTATAATAGAATTACAAGAAACTAAAGAAAAAATGTTATCAATTAGTATAGGAGGGTTAGAAGAGGGGGGAATGTAAATAGACCAAATGGCAATGGGATTGGGTAAATTAGTAAACGCCTGGATACCGACAAGATCTATAGAATGATTAAGAAGGGAGATTTTTAATACAGGATCAATAGAAATAGGGTTAATGTGGATAGAATGATGAGAGGCGATGGCTACGCCGCCAAAACCGTCGATACGATCAGATCGATTTATGATGAACTGTGGAAGATAAACACGTTTACTTGAAAGGAGCCAAGTTTCAGAAAGGAGAGCAAAAGAACATTTATTATTAGAGAAAAGAAAAGAGAGATCGTGCATTCTAGGGGATAAACTTCTTACGTTCCATTGAAGAATATTGAAAGAAGGAAAGTTAGGATTACTATTAAAATGTGTCATCATTGTCAGATAAAGGATAGTGGATGTTAGTTAATGAAGATTCTATAGTTGATTGAAGTATTGAAGGAGAAGAAATTAAATTAGGATCGCTCGCGAGTAGCTGAACGATATGTTGCGATAAGCAGGAAATCCAGTTGCGGTCATCAACATTAGTACTACGATTTTGGGACATGTATTTTAAAAAACTGCCATTAGGCGAAATTGGCCTAGAACAGTCATTTGGTTAAGGAGGAAAGTGGGGGGAGGGGACTTGAGTTTTATTACTTTATTTCTTCTTTTGTTTATTTGTTTATTTGTATATGTATTAGTAGAATGACTAAGGGAAGGAAAGGAAGGAGAAGCTACGACTTCGACACTAGATATATTTGTATTTTTAGCAACATCAGAAAAGGTAAAAGCTTTATTAAACTGGAACGTTTGATCGAGGAGGCTTCAAAAAATAAGACATTGTTTGTGGCCATTATCTTTTTAATGTCCTTTTGCACAGACCATTCGCTGCAAGATCTATCCGTCGCAAGGTGGTTCAGTTTACAAAAAATGCACGAAGGAGGTGTGGTNAGGTGTGATCAAAACGTAAACATTTGCGACATTGGACAGGAGAACGAATACTCGGAGAGACATCAAAAATAACTTTGTATATTGATAATTTTTGAGGAAGAGTTGCTGACAAAAATTTAAGTTCAACTAAATTTGAAGAAACGAGGATGTTATCCTTTTTTATATTAATGCGTCTGAATGAAACAACTTTGACTGAACATTCATAACCTTCCCAAAAGTCTTCTTCAGAGATACTTTTATCAAGACGTATTATTCCAATACTATATAGTAAAGTACTAGGAATATTCGCAGAATAGCCGTGTTCAGAAAGAGAAGGNTTGAATATTCGCAGAGTAGCCGTGTTCAGAAAGAAAAGGGGAAGTGAGACAATTGTTGGCGTTATTAACCGACTCAAACGTGATTTTCACACGCTTAGAACCGATAGGGTTTATGCTCAGAATACCAGGAAAAAGTTTGGAAAAAGTTTTACCGAGCTTAACTGGGTGAAAATTACCTAAGTTATTATCACCAGATGCAGAAACAAGTACATTGAGGGGACCAGTNCCAGATACAGAAACAAGTACATTAAGGGGACCACTGTAGTGTAGTGGAAAGCATTCAGGAACATTGGGTTGCCTGACTGTTGAAATATTAGGAGAATCGACATAGAGCGAGTTTATGTTTGAAGTTGGCGAACCGGGTGACGTCACAACGATGACTTCAGGTGAGCTACAATCCATGCTGAAAGTTTGAGATTGGGGATCATCGGATTTTGATTTACCGTCAGATTTAGGTTTTTTGTGTAAGGGGCTAATTGGCGATTTAGAGCCTTGATTGTTCTTACCAGAATAACGCGAATTATCCATGGAGATTTGTGGGTTGGAAGATTGCAGAGTGCTTCTACGGCGCAATGGGGGGTGGTGCTGATCACCTCCCGGATTAGGTCTGGAATGCATCCAGAGCCCCGGCGGACACAGTAAATGTGCCAAAAAGGCGGAACTATGGATTCAAAACTAAAAAAAAAACTTTGAATAACGGAATAGTACTCTAAAAATAGGCGGGTAACTACAAACGTACGCGAGATAAACACGTCCGTACAATACGACCGATAAATCGCAACTGAACTTTTATAGTTATCGGCTTATTATTTTTTTTGTTGTCACAGTGCGTTGTGATATTAACTTAATTTAGTTGAACCGTTGTTCACATTTGTTACGACTGTCGTCGTGGAACGTAAATTAACTGACACAAGTTTTAGTTGTATGATAAAATGGCGTGAAGCCGTATATTGCTTCTTACAAAAATAGTCACAAAAATAACACAAAATAAAGTATACAATGCACTCAATACTAATAGCAAAACCGACAGTAAAAATCGTAGGTGCAACGAGTTGCCAGGTATAACTTCAATAGATCCGTATCGTACGGGGCCACGGAGATTACTTAACGTATATTTGCGGCGGGTCGTAGATGGACGTGCGGCACTTGCTGGACTTTGTACTGTGGCGTATCGCACGCGGTGTTAGTCAGTCAAACTACCATATGCACGCAGTAGGGCGGCGGCTGATAAAGGTGTCACGGGTCGCGGGGCTCCGTGTATAGTGAACGACGCGGGACCGTGTCACATTAAGATATATTACGTAATTTTTGTTGTGCCCGCACTTATTAATATCTATGGACTTTTTGTTCCTATTGATTTTTTTTACTTGTGAAAGTACTGTTTCTTTGTTATTTATTTTGCTATTATTATTATTTGGTTTTCTCAGCTATAATTGCTGATTTTGATACTTTTTTATAATTACTTTTGTTAATTTTAATTTTTTTTTACTCTTGTTTAATTTTTGTTGTATCCAGTAAGGTATCAGACCGACTGTGAACAACCTATTTATTATTAATTTATTCTTCTTAGCGTTTTACACGCATTTATTGTTTTGTTAAAATTTTTTTGTGTTGATTTTTATTTTTTGTCTGAAAGTGCGGGGAAACGTACATCAAAGCAACCTGAACGGTTGGGCGTCGACCCGCAAGCTACTTCTGCTTTTGAGCGTTCTCGGTTAGTACCTCCTATTTCTCCTGTGCGTACGGAATTTGAGTCGAACAATACTTTGGATGGTCTTTGGTTAATGATAATCGACAACTCGTCAATTTGTCACCAGAATAGTGAAAAGGCTAAGAAACGCAGTGATCGGTTGGAAGAAGTGTTAATTGAAATAGCGGCTAGTGCCAAACGGACAGATGAGCGATTCGAATTGTTTATGAAATCTATGTCTGATCTAAAAAATCATTGTGATGAATCTACTAAAAAATTATCGAGTGATATTGTCCGTGTTGAAAATTTGTGTCTAGAGTCTTCTAGTAAATTATCCAGTGATATTGAGTCTGTTAAAGCTGACGTTGATGGATATGTTACCGCCACTATCAATCACTGTAAAGGTATTGATGGGCAAGTTCGTGAAGTGGGTAATCGTCTTGATGTCATTTCCAAGACTACCCTGGATTTAAAGGCTGAATTTGACAGTTTTAAGTTAAAAATTCTTTCTGGTGAACCTGTGAATAGTGATCCTGTGACTGCAGTTCCTGAGTCCAGGCCTTTAGTGTCTTTCGCGAGTTCAAAGTTTTGTTTAGAGCTCAGTTTTGGTCTGAGGCTGTTCAACATCGTGTTTACGATGAGGTTTTGCGTCCCTATAAATATTTGTCTTCTACTGGACTGACAACTCATGCGATGCAGTGGATTGCTAAGGCACGGTTCTTGGACCCGCTTATCTCTCCCTCTCGTCTAGTGAGAGTTATATGTCAGCACTTCAATGACAGTATCTGTACTTCTCTTTTAGGCCGAAATCCCAAATCTACTTCTAAACTTTTGCCTGTCTTGTCGGAGTTAGAGAACTCACAGTCTTTTCATTCTTCTGCCTATAGTCATTATTCTTCTAATAATGTGGGATATACAGAGAAAACACGGCCCACCACTCAAAATGAACGTCAGCAGTACAATAATTATAATAATTATCGTCGTGGTAATTATAATAATAATAATTTCCGTGGTCGCGGTAATGGTCAGAGGGACCAGCCGGATCAACAACATCCAAATATGTCTGTTCAGGGAAACGGAGAGACGAACGCTTGAAAGACTCGGCCCCATCACGTTCGTCACTACCTCCAGTCGAGCCCTCTTCTGACCCTGCAGTGAATCTTTTAAAAAATAGTGTCTGTTCTTTTTCATCACTAGAATTAAATTTAGTCTTATTCAGTCTTCCCTATCGTGCTCTCTTAGACTCAGCTGCGACTTGCTCTTCTGTCTCTGAAGATACATTTAAAATTTTTAGTTTTAAGGTTTCTCGGTACCCTCCGAATCGATAATAAAGAACTCAAAACGCCATGTTCTTGGAATAAATCCTTGTTTATTGTCTTTGTTAAATGTACCTTGAGGAATATAAATTTGTTTTAATATTTTACTTTTTCGTTCAGTAAAGTACAAGTTATTGTAATATTGGCAGCTTTTTCCGGTTCCAATAATAATGGTTTTTTTAAAACCCGAAATACTGAAGCAATAATACCGAACACATTTCCAACACGTCTAGCTTGCGAAAGACGATTATTAAAAATTCTTTCTATGCTCCTTTTACCGTATGTCCCTGGATAGGGTTTCATAATACGCGGATTAAGAGCGTCAGCATCGTCCGCTACAATTACAAAAGGAAGTGATAAAGTCCTTGATGATAATGGTTGGTCAGGAGAAAACATCAATTGATTATCTTCTATTTTATAAAAGAGAGAAGTATATTTGAAAACTCCCTCATCACTAATTCTTCCTTGGCATCGAACGTTTGTGTTAAAAAATCAATAATTAGCATCAACTAAAGCCATCAATACTATGCTGAATGTACCTTTATACTTAATATATTCAGAACCACTGTGTATAGGTGATTGAATAATGACGTGTTTACCGTCAATTGCACCCAGACAATCAGTAAAACTGTCATCTGGTGTCATAGTCATTTGCTACCTTGTACTATTCTTCGGGATTTTCAGCCAACTAAAAATATCAGTTAATATTATTTTTATTGATAGAATATAGGTATAATTTTTTATTTGATAATAATATTAAATATAATACAATGTATAATATTAACGCATTTAAAAAAAACTCAGCACAGTGGTTGTGACATAGTTGGGTCCTGTATAGATCCAGTATAGTAAGTATGTCGAATGAATATAAATTTTGACCGGAACCACCTACGGACATGTATTTTGACACGCTGTATCCGAATTTGAAGTCCGTTTGGCCCGGTCACTCTTCAGATTTGAGTAAAATGCAAAAAACCAAAAAATTGCGAAAAACTGCAGTCACAGCGATGAAAAAAATTTTGTGGACCCTGATCAAGTATGATTTTTATGTATTTCAATTTACTGAAACTGAATCTGAACGTTAATTAGCCCTTAATTTTGAAATAATCATTAGGCTTTTGTGCACATTACTTAAAAATATCACAATAAAAATCATTGAAAAAATTAATATTCCCTAACTTATAGCAATTAGCTTTAAATTTCAGTATTTTTTTTTAATTAAAAAAAATTATTTCATTTATACCCCCACACTTAAACAATTATCGGAATTTCCTCGACGTTGGAGGACTTTTAAGATAAACTTCATACTTCAGCTTCGAAAACATTCATTTAAAATTCCCAGGCAATGCAATTTAAACTATTAAATCAATTTTATTCCTTAATAAAAATTTATGTTTTACTACTTCGTCTAAATTCAATCTAACAATAATAAATCTTTAGTTCAGTGACTCCAAAAACTAGTTGATTTATGACAAATAATTGATATACAATGACTTACTGTTAAATTTGATGTAGAAGGTGACCGATGTGATTTGGAATCAATTGCATTATCTTCTATACTATTTGTTCCGTTGGATTTGAAACTCTGTTAAACAAAAAAATAAATAAATGATTTTTTAGTAAAATCTACATATTTCTGATTATCTTAGTCTAGTCCCCTGTATATCTTTGTCGAAAACACACATATAATTCACTGGAAATTTTAAATAACTCCCCCCCCCACATTTTGATAATATTTCTTTTTTATATGTATCTTTAACATAAAAAAAATTAACTTTTCATTAAAAATTAATGCGTAAAAACTTACCGCATCATTACTAATGGACGACCTAAAAGTATTTTCAATACAGTCTCCTGCTTGGGTTGGAATTGGTTTGCCCATTATCATCTGCCAGAAAACAAATTTTAAGTGGTCAATTTCAGCCCGCATTACATTGAGTTTCTTCTCAAGGATGGCAATTCTTTGCTTGTTGTCAATACATTGTTCATTATCATTAGGGCCGATATTACTTAAATCCTAAAAAATATGATCGAATATAATAAAATCCTAAAAAAAATCAATAGAAACAGCAATTCGAATTCGAAACTTCGTAATTGGAAATAAGAACGACAAAACCGATTTGGTTTGGTTGTGTTTTAAATAATTAAACTTACTTTCTCTGTAACACCCAACTCAACTGTGTTTTCTCAATTTATACACCATAATTAAATAAAATCAACAAATTCACATCACATAAATTTTATTATACATGTCTCCCATACTGTTATTAATAAACTATTATTTAAAATATATATTCTTATTAACTATTAGTATTTTTTTAAGGAAATACTCATTTATTTAAAACTAATGAAAATGCAGTTTTAAATTACTCAAATGTAAAATTATTTTAAAATAATAGGGTATAATACACAAAACCATAAAAAAATAACAAAACAATCAATGTTAGTGATATTTTGAATGAATACATTAACATACAATATATATATATATATATATGTAATAGATGTTTAAAGAATACGTCATCAATATTTCGAATAAATTAAATGCAAAAAACATTGATTCAGTGGAAATGAAATTACCAGATAAAGCAAAAGCAAACGTTTTAAAAAAAAAATTGTTCAAATCAACGATAGTTGAAATATTTGTTTGTACAATAATGCGTTTTGTTAATATTATTAACAGCTACAGTTGATAATATAACTGACGATTGCATACAATACTATCTACTTAAAAAACAATAATAGGACAATAAAACTACCGAATCGCAAATAAAATTAAAAAAAAAAAAATAGTTTGTGTCGTTGGAAAACCAATAAAAACGAAGTTCCTTTGACTAAAATATTAGTAACGAAATTTGCTAAAAAAAAATACTAAATGCTACGTAATTTATATTTTGTTGCTTTCTATTTAAATTTTGCTAAATGATTTTTAAACACGGCGTTTTGAAGAATTAAAGTTAATGTAAAACAATAGTAACTAAAAATAGTCATTCAAAGTATTAAATTCATCAATAATTGAAAATAACTTATAAAATGAAAATCACTGATACATTAGAAATGTAATTGTTTACTTAAAACAAAATCATATTATGTTAAAGAAAAAATAATAATTTCACTGTATTCATTGTAAAATAATGATTTTTCGACGATTCATATATGTATAATAATAACTCTTTATTATTATAATATTTCTATAGTAATTTCATAGGGTCCTTAAGCTACGTTATATAACAAATAATAATAATAAAAAGTATAAATACTCAAGTTTTGCTCTGCGCTCATGATTATATCGAAAAGTCAAAACAAAAAAAAAAGTATCGAAAACTTTAATAATAAAAGTAAAAACAATATTTAATAAAAATGATTACGGGAAAACGAGCAAATAGTTGCAAACGCAAGATAAAATGGCGATAGAAACGAAAACAGAAGGCGAATGACCCGGGTACACCTTTGAAGGAATATCCCATCGCCTACAGACAAAAAAAAAAATAAATAATATTAATTGGCTATAGATTACAAGACCACTTGGCTGCACTGCTACTTCATAACCGCTAACCGGTGTCACCGCCTACAATTTTGCCACCATATATACGATATTCGATGCAAATCTTAAGATAGTGTTTAATTTTAAAAAATTGATGGATTATTCCAAAAGCTACATGATCTGCTAATTCCTTTAAATATCCTGATTAAGATAAAGTATGTCGAACGAAAAAGGGATTATTAAAAAATATTATTTCTCATAAAAAAATTGTGTTGATCCGTACACTTTTCAATAAGTTATAGCATTATAAAGTTAAAAATGTAAAATATGAAATCGAGAATTTCCATACAAAAATATTATTCGATAGCCATTTTCACCAGTGAAGACAATCTAAAGTCCGAAATTTTTTTTTTCATGATAAGTATATTACATTATCTTTAATTTAAGATATATATAAAAGTGTCAGACTTTCCGGAACACTTTCAAAAGTTAATTTTTCGTTAAAAAGTTGTCATGTTAAATCCTCCCCTGTGGGCAGGTTAAGTGTCAGATTTACAAAAAAAATATACAAAATGAAAGGTAAAGACATTATACATCTATTATAAAGAAAATTATATTGATTTGATCATTTTTAAAAAAGTTATGGCAAGTATAATGATATCTGACAGTGATTAAAATCACTATAAAAAAAAAAAACGCTTCGATCTTTTTCACCAAAAATTTACTTTTTCAACTTAACTTTTGAAAGTGTTCCGGAAAGTCTGACACTTTTATATATATCTTAAATTAAAGCTAATGTAATGTACTTTATTATGTAAAAAAAAAATTCGGACTTATTGGTGAAAATGGCTACCGAATGCTATTATTGTGTGAAAATTCTCGATTTTAGTTTTTGCCTATTAAAAATATCCTGGAGTGAGACATTGTACATCCGCGGGATCTTGGGACATGGGTGTCAATGGTCAGGAGTTAAGTACAGACTCAATCCTTATTACTAGAGTGTTGATTTCCTCGTAAGTTAAAACAGCATTTCCTACCGTACGGGCTAATAAAGTTTTGGTGGATTTCACCGATGCCTCCCACAAACCAACGAAATGAGGAGCACCGGGAGGACTGAAATGCAATTGACAAGGAAAGGCATTTATACATTTACTTTGGTGTTCTTCTGACACATATAACTTCTTTAATTCTTGATTAGCATCGACAAAGTTAGTACCGCAGTCAGAGTAAACTTCAGAAGGCAAGCCACGTCTTCCGTAAAATCTGCTCAATGCGTCGAAAAATGCCTTGGTTGACTTGTCCCAAACTACTTCCAAATGAGAACTGCCTTTACAGTCATACACTCAAAAAATGCCAAGTAAATTTTATATGTTCTTGCTTTTCTCAGATTAGTTTCCTTCATAATGAGAGGACCGGCGAAATCAATTCCTACTCGCGAAAATGGAGGACTGACCGTTACCCGAAACGCGGGTAAATCCGCCATCACCGGCTGAGGATTGGCTCCTTTCCGTCGTATACACGTGATACAGTTCGCTACAAACACTGCTGGTGCTAAAAAACCTAAAGTATGGAAGATATGAGCTATTTTATAAATCATACTAAATATTGTGTTTATTATAAAATAAAATAATTTTTAAGGGTTTATGTTAGGGGTAAATTGCGAAAGTTAAATGGGGACCAATTATTTTTTATTGGGAAATGGTCTAAATGAGAAGTTGACCAGTGGATAATCTGTATTGTATTATTACTTTTTGAGTTATAGATGATTGGGCAACTCAACATGGAAAATTTGTTAACTATGCATCATGATAAAACTAGGAGTCGCTAAATACTACCCCACTCCTCACCTTTACTAAATCTTTAAATGCTAATATCTCGAATTTAATAATATAAAACTGGTTATCGACTAGTCATAATTTTATTTAGACCATTTTCTGTTTAATAATTACAAAAAATAATAGGTTCCCATTTAACTCTCGAAAGTTATCCCTAAAATCTACCCTTAGAAATAATTATTTGTTACAATTTACTTGATAAATACTACGGTTTATAAAAATAAATCAAATTATAGTCTGTACATTTTTATGAAAAAATCATTATTTAACGAAAAATAGAAGGTAAATGCTTAACAATAAATCATATAAGATATTCATTTAACACTAACTAACGGTTACTCGTAAAATATAACTGATTTTTTTTCTAAATTCTGTTTTATATTTTTCTCGATTTATCAAATAAGAAGTACTATTTCAGTTTGTCATTGTTTGTGTTACATAGTTTTAGATAAAGTTCATTAAATATTCTAACTTTAATCCAACCAAGAGTGTAATGACTTATTAGTCATCACACATTTGGATTAAAGCACACAAAGTACTTGAAGGGCATTATGTCCTGGAGTATTTACATTAAATTAGGGCAATTTGACCAAAATTTGTTCGGAAATTTTAAATTTACGCAAATTCCTCTACATTCCATATACGCTCTGTATGCTAATAGACTTTATGTATAAATGCTGTACTTGTAAATTTGAAGGTGATCTTTACTAGGATGAATAGTTGACTAAGGTTTAAAAAAAATTAAGAGTACATTTTACTATTTACCTGTTTAAAATTTGAGCTCTCCATGATTTTCAAAAAAGATGTTTACACATAAGGGCGCCGAGAAAAAGTGATGGTTGAAAGAGTACTTATTTAAGACGCGTTATAAAGCGAGTACAGCAAAAAGTCACGGAAGTCTGGCGTCAGTCATACTTACACATGTCGTCGATCATCTTTGATAAGGACAATATTTAGATCTCAATCGTGACCTCTCTGCAATTTTATAGTGACTTCGTGTGGGAATTTATTTAATATCTATTTTTATAATATAATTAGACTTCGCGTTTGGGATCTAAGCAAGATAATGAAAACTATGCGAAATCACAAACATAGATCGTAAATTAGTAATTGTGGTTACGTTTGGGCGATTTCAAAATTTTTATTTAGACATCACATTGTTATGTCGTATTTTCATCAATAATTGTGTTCGCATAGATGTTAAAGTCAACGTATGCACATAGGGGAGCTAATATTTACGGCAGCATATTTAATTTTTTTTTACGATAAGCTTTCACAAAAATTTTTCATCAATATTAAAGGACCAAAAAAATAGGTTAAAAATGAAATTTTGAACTGATTAATTTTATTATATTAAAAATAAAAATCAGTAATAATTTGTAAACAAATTTTTTTTCTTTTAATTATTATTTTATATGTAATTAGTAATAATATAAAAAATAAGAAGTGATAAGAAAAGTATATTTTTGTTTTTGATAAAAGTTCCTTATAGTTTAGTGTATTTATTCATAAGTAACAACATTTTTTTATTAAAAAGTATTACATCAATCCCATTAAATTTTTATACAATTTTTAAAAGTAAAGGAATTAACTCCTTTTTATCTCCGTAAAAATTACAATATTATAATATTAAATATCAATTTCTTACTAAATTTAATTACTATAATTATTATTTATTCGTATATTATAATTATAAATCGGGATAAAATTAAGGGAATAGCAGTTATGGTTGCTTTTGAAATAATCTACCAATCTCTTAAAATTATACACTATCTACAGATTTGCATCGAAGCGTTACTTATGATAGTGATTTTAATCACTGTCAGATATCTTTTATACTTGTTCCAACTATGCCACGTCCATACTGTGCCGCGACCCCACTGTGCTACCGTTTGTTTTGAAACTATGTTTATTGTATAGAAATTTTTTACAAAACCGGTAATTGTGAATAACGATTACCGATTCTAGGTTAACATCTATAAAATTAAATCGGTAATCAATAATCAATTACCACTTTTAATTTAAAAAAAGAACCCTCAAGAGATTCCGGTTCTCAAAAAAAATAGTTTTTTACCGTTTTTCGGTTATCACCGATAAGCTGTTTTAAACCTTGAATAATAGAATAATTATTATAATATAATTTATTATTATTATACATAATAATAATAATAATCTACAAAAATGTATTCTTAACTTAAACTTTAAAAATTATAAACATAAGCTTAAAATTTTTGTATAAATTATACTCAATAGACAATGGTTGTTTTGAATCAAATTAATTTTTTTATAGCGATTTACAGTCCCGTATCAATTGTGCATACGCATTTTAATACATATAGCAAGTAATAGTGAACGTAGTAAATACACTTTTTATTATTAATTACAATTAATTATTTTTAATAATATGAATAAGTCGAGTATAAGTGTGGTAAATCAACGCAACTTATGCAATAATAGATTAAAACAATCCTCTGAACAAAATATAATTTTATCCCGAATGTAAAAAAATTTCTTTTTATGTATCAGTTTTTTATAACTGTTTTCATCTATTTTTTGTAAACAAAATTTTTTTTGATTTTTTTTTCAAAAGTTTTTGGTAATTTTTAATATTTAATTTTAACAACAGACCTAAATTGAATAGCTATAAGCAATGTCTTTACGAATAAACTACAATGATTGCTTGTCATTGTTATAAATTAAACAATTGCAATTATTCTAATAATAATTTTTTTGTACATGATATGAATAAATGATATGTATTCGTAATGAAATATATAATTTATCAAAAAAGACTGAAAACATATTGTCAACTTAATTTACATCATTGTCTATTTTAATGGTGCATTATAGGTTAAAAATAATGTTATGACGATATCTAATTTTACAATTACATTAACTTGTATAAAAATTCAAGTTTAGTCAGATTAATTTTATTTAAACGTAGTTTAAAACCAACTATTAGTACGTATAGTTTAACGTGTTTTAAAATAATTAAGCTGTTAAATTGAAAATGAAATCTATCAATACTTTTTTATTATCGTTTATGTTTTTGTCTACAACTAAATTGGTGTTTTGTATTCAAAATACTAACGCCGTTAAAGTATTAAATTCACTTCTTAAATCTAGCAAATGGTTCCCTGACCAAGATTTCGATTTGTATGGTCCTAATGAAGAATTTTATACAAAAAAAAGTGATTTAGTCATTAGCGATCTATCAAATGAAAACAACATGACCATGGATGATTTAAATAAAAAATTATTGTATGCATCTACGTTGATGAATTGCGTTTATGCTAAAAAGGTTCGTTGGCTAATAAATGCGTTTGATTTTATCTTCGAAGGTTGTTTGGTAAATGATGGAATACAATACAAAGAATGCGTATTAAATTTGAAATCACATTTTCTACAATCAAAAATTGTACTCACCTATCTTAATAGTGCGTTAGATTTTGTCGATAATTTGATACCGGGTATAATAACAGACAAATCTTTTAAAGAAGAAGTATTAAATGAAATTTTGATTTTTGAATTTAACGCAGAAGATACTAAGGAAAACGAAGGGTTTTTATATGTATTTGATAAGTTTTTGTCGTTATATATTAAAACGAATAATTTTATTGATCAATGTAGTGGCGAAAAAGAGTCGTCTTATTTCGCTGAAGATGATGAAAATGATAAAAGCTTTAAAAATTTGCAAACATCATTTCCATCAGAACTGGAGAAAATTAAATATCAAAATTATACTGTTCTTGGGTTCATATATAACGAAGACACAAAAGAAAGTGATTATAAATATTTATAATATATAATATGATACATATTTATTCATGTTACCTAATATGTTTTGTTATTCTCAATAGTTCATTATTTATAAAATACATAGTACAGAAATTTTCAATTTATAAAATATAATATAAATATTATTATTATTAAAATATTACTGTTTTAAATATTATATTCGTAAATTTATTTTAAAATGTTTAAATTTTGAATAACTGATAATTTTTGTAGATAATTTATAGTATATATTTATTTCTCTTGTTTCATTTTTAAAATAAAGTAAACTTTCTTAATCGTTTTTATTTTTTAATCATATATTACATTAAACAAGCTTTAATTTGATTTAGTATTGATTTATGTTCATATTCCATTACTATGTAAAATACTTCAAACTTTTTTTTTCATACTTTTTTGATATTTTTATAAAAAAATTGTATGATTTTTAATTTTTCTCGAGAACTCAAAAAAATCGAGATTTTGTATAGTTTTTCTTTTTGTGTTTTACAGTATATTGTATTAGCTTACATTTGAAAAATAAGTCAAGATTTTTGCAACATTAATCTTAATTAATAATTGGACTTTCAAAAAAATAATGTCATTGGCAAGGAGAATTTCTAAAGTATCAACAATTAAATTTTTGAAAAAAACCGTTTAGTTTTTAGAAA